TGGAGAAAAAAATTCCAAAAAGGGGGGGATGATTTTTTTTCAAGAAAATATACACCCCTGAAGGGATTTAATAATCCGAATATAATAAAATCATCTCGATAAGCTTAAGCGTAATCAAAGCTTTTCAAAGGTCCTTTCAGAATACGGAATAGACTTCAGTTTCAGGCACAACATTCAAGAACACTTCCTTGAATCTATCTTAACTTACTGTCCATCATGATCATCATATCCTCTACTTTGTCCTCTATCATCGTATCGAGGTCTTCCCCTGTCCTCGAGTCCTCCACCTGACCTACGATCTCGTTCCCGCAGATCTCCACCGCTGGACCCTCTTTCATGTTCTAATCGATCCCAAACCTGATTTTTCGACCCTACCCGATCTGTCATTGGTGATCTCTCAAGATCACGACGATCTGGGCAAGATCTTTCATAATCCAACCGCACCCTAATTAACATTTCTTCTCGATCAGTAGATCTTTCTGTCCCTGATCTACCCAATCGATCAATTATTGATCTTTCTTCCCTGGTTGATCTGACGGACTCCCCCCGGTGTCTGTCCAGGTCCCGGTTTTCCCGTTTTATCCCTCTTGGTTCCTCCGCTGTCCTTCGTCTGTCCATTTCATTACTGTCATCCCTTCAAACAAATAAATTATCACTGGAGTGCTTAGGATTCATTATATTCTGATACGGAACCATGTCGTGAACATTTATTTCTTCAAGATTTTCTCCTTTTTTAACAAATGAAGAATTTTCAAAACAAAATTACATCTTTTTTTTACTTCTTTATGCTTAAACTTAACGAATCATTCAAATATTAGGAAGTTTTATTAATATCTCTCATTGGATGACAGTTGAAATTAGTTTTGAGAGCAACAAGCGTTATTGACAGGGTTTGGTTGATATAAAATCCATTGAAATTTTCGAAAAACTCCAAAAATTGACTGAGTCAGGCAAAAAAAAACTTTAAAACTGCTTGTTTCTAGGAAAATTACATTTTTTGGAGGTTTTTTAAAATTTTAAAAATTTTAAATTGATTTAATCTTTTTAGACAATTACGAAGAAAATGATTTAAGACATGATAAATTCAAGAAATATTACGAAGAAAATGATTCAAGAAATATTTTTTTCAGTTATGTAGACTCTATAACTTACGTGCATATTTCTGAAAAGTATATCAGACGGTAAAAGTGGTCCGATCTAAAATTTTATTTCCCTGAATTTGTATGCCTAAATGTCACTTCATTCCGGTATGCATCAAACAAATATCACAGTTAGGTCTTTGTTGGGGCACCCTAATCCCTAATTTTGGATCCAGTAAGCAAAAATGTTGCGGATCCCAAGCACTGGTTAGTGATTATTAGATTAATGAACAATAAAGAAAAAGTGTCTCACCTGGATCTCTCTTCCCTTGGCTCTCGTTTGATCTCCCTTGCGCCTCTACGATCATCTCCTCGATCCCGTCTTTCGTCTCTACGATCCCCTCTGGGGTCACGGTGGGAGTCTGAACGATGACGATCGTCACGAGATTCCCTTCGATCCCTGGGATCGGGTCTAGAATCTCGTCGAAGCGGTGATCTGCTTCCTCTCCTAGAATGGTTCAGTTTAAAGGGATTGTCGTTGTTATTTCAAACAACTTTTCATTTAAAGAGAATCATGCATGATTCAGCACAATACCCCTTCAATAATTATAAATCTGATCAAAAGTTTGGAAGATATTCAGGATTTTCTTTGTGAAAAAAGGGTTTTATTATGACAATTTTCTCTCTTTATCACTTAATATAAAAACCACAATAGAAAAATAATAAATTTCTGCTATGGAAAAGCATTGACATCTCATTCATTTTTCAACATCCCACTTCATAAATGAGGGGTTCTGTGAAACTATGTCGACTGTGTTTTCAGAGAAACTTGAAAAGGCGCCATTTTCAAATTTAAAGGTTTAAAATACCTTAAATATTAAAAATAGTAAATTTTCATTGATAACATATATGTTTTTGAGAAAAAAAGGGTTTGGTGCGGAAAATAAAAGATCTTTAAAAAATTAAAATATTAAACATTTCCATAAGAACATATTCAAACCAAAACAGCCCATCAAAATTAGACTTAGTATTGTGCTCAATTAGAATTTCTAGGGGCACTTTTTCAATTTCAATTGATAATTATTTTTTTTCTAAATCAAAATCGTCGTCCTTAATCACCCTTTCAAAATTTGAAGATATTTCCATTAAACATATCGTTGACCTGGCCCGTTTTGATCTATCATCATCCCGTCCTGGAGTAGAACTGGCAGATCGTTTTCTACCCTGAGGCCAACCTCCTCCACTTCGACCTCGTGCATCCCGTCCACCACCCCGACCTCCTCCACGACCTCGGCCTCCACCACGCCCCCCGCGGCCTCCGCCTCGACGATCGAAGCTTCGTTCAAATTGACGTTCATCGTCTCGGGATTTCTGTTTAGCCTTCAGAAACTCAGCCTTAGTGAATCTAAAAATAAAATGATGTAACATTAATCTCCAAAGGATTTGGCCAATTTGATTATATTTGCGACTCCTGTCTTCATTTCTTGAGGAATCTGAATAAAATTCTGCATATGGGCATCATTTGTGTTTTTTTTATTTCGATGAAAACTGAATTCATGAATCTAGAAAATGTGAAAAATATTAACAGAGTGGGAAAATTTGATAAAATAAGGGGGAAATAGGGGGAATAATGATCTGAAAAACCTTAAACTTCGTTCTGATGTTAATGAGATTCTTGACTAACAGGTAGGTGTTTAAAACACCTTGCTTACTATTTGGTAAAAAAGGTTAAAAAAAAACATGGAAAAAGTGAGAAAAAGGAGGGAATATCACCATGGTAACTGGAAAATAAGTAAGAAAGTAAGACTAAGTGAAAACGAAGGGTAGTATTTTTCCTCCCCTTTTTATCTGTTTTATAAAAATACTATCCAATTGAGACTGTGCGCAAAATATTTTTTATTTTCGATGAAAAATGAATTCATGTATCCTGAAATTTGAAAAATATTAACAGTGGAAAAATTTTATAAAATCGGGGGAAAGTGTTCTGAAAAATCTTACACTTCATTCTGATGTTAATGAGATTCTTGACTAACAGGTAGGTGTTTAAAACACCTTGCTTACAATTTGGTAAAAAGGTTCAAAAAACATGGAAAAAGTGGGAAAAAAGGGTGGGGGGGAAGTATTTCCCCCCCCTTTTTATCTGTTTTATAAAAATACTATCCAATTGAGACTGTGCGCAAAAGATTTTTAATTTTCGATGAAAAATGTTCATGAATCCGGAAAATCTGAAAAAATTAACAATGTGGGAAAATATGATAGAACAGGGGTAAACAGGGGGAAAAGTGACCTGAAAAATCTTAAATAATTAACAATGTGGGAAAATATGATAAAACAGGGGTAAACAGGGGGAAAAGTGACCTGAAAAATCTTAAACTTAATTCTGATGTTAGTAATGAGAATTTTGACTAACAAATGTGTTTAAAACACCTATCTGGTATTTAAATCAGACTTTTTGGTAAAATAAAAGCTTAAAAATCATAAAAAAAAATGGGGAAAAAGGAGAAAAATAATATTTCTTTGAAATATTTTTTATTTTACTTAAACAAACACAAATGATGCCCATATGCATAATTTCATTCAGATTCCTAAAAAAATCGAAAATGTATTTAAATTGGTCAAACTAACCTTCTTTCTAAAAAATAAAAATTTTCTATCTCCTTTCAGGCAGGGGCTAAAGGGACTTTCACTTTAAATCGGTTTGAACCGGCAGTAGGTAGTTCAGAGACGCAGCTCAATTTCATTATATTTACCCCTGGTCAATAATGTGAAAGATATATTCGTTTTTCTCGTGTTTATTTCTTATAATTTCTTCCTTGAAAAAAAGTCTTGACAACTGCTTTCTTTAAAAAATTCCAGCAGTTTGTTTCTGAGCTCAAATGTAACGGATGTTTTCTCTTTACTTGCAAAAACTCCTTACATTTAAACCGATAAACAAATTTTCTTAGCTTGTGTATCTCATTGTCAGAAGCAGAAAAATTGCCATTTGAAAGTTGAAACAAAATCTTAAATCAAGTTTTAACAATCAAAAAAATTGTGTATTTGAAAATACTTGATTTACCTGACGAAGCCTAACCCTCCTCTGACGAGAATACCGTCATCGTCATCTAAATCTTCCAGATCCCGAGCAGTAGCTTTGTCTGTCACCGTTCTTTTTACCGGTTCCGCAGTAGGCACCTAGACCATTGATTTATAAATATTTCTTGATTGATTGATTTATCAATTATTTGATTAATTTATAGATTATTTAATTGATTGGTTCATTGGTTAATAAATTCAATTTTTGATTTATACTAATATTGTGATATTAATCTATAATCATAATAAATACTCTTCAAATACAGTAATAATCACCTCCCTTCTTCATAGGGGGCCTTCATAAGGGGAATACTGCAATTTTTTATATTATAGTTTTATAAATTTTAGACTACTTCTCAGTAATATCAGGATACATATTTCTGATTGGGGGTGGGGCTACTCAGATTAATCGCTAGAATGCTCAAGAAGGAAGACCACTGTTAAATACCGAAAAACTTCAGATCTATCTTCTATCACAATATATAAAAAAACTCATGAGAAAAGAATAAATGTGTCCGTTTTAGTGCTGTAAACTCCTTAAAAAATCAATACAGTTGATAGTAGACCTTTTTATCATTATAAGAGTAAAACAAGTGCAATAATTAGAAAAATTAAAAAAAAAAGAAAAAAAAGAAGACCGCTTACAGGTGGGCTTCTTAAAGTGGGTTTTATTGGGCTGGGTTTATTCATGCCAACCCTGGTTTCAGAGGGACTTCGTAGAATGTTGAAATATATCAAAAAAAAATTTTTATATTTTTATTTCCAGACCATTCAGATATCATATTTTTCTACCTTGAAGTCCGAGTCAGCTTTAATCCGATCCAACAGTGGTGTCAAACTGTACAATAAAAAACAAGGGGGTCAAACTATACAATTAATAATATGGGGTCAAACTATACAATAAAAAACAAGGGGTCAAACTATACAATAAAAACAAGGGGGTCAAACTATACAATAAATATCACTGGTGACAAAATATACAATTAATAGAAGTGGGTCAAACTATAAAATAAATTTTTGAAAAAAAATCATTTTCTTGAAAACGCAAGTACCAACAACAATATAACAGATTAAAAAAAAGACTAAACGTTGTGAAAGACTGATGATGAAATGTTTAATGAAGGAAAAGAATCTAAAGAAGGACATAAAAGCATTGTTCATAAAAAAAGTTGAATAAATGAATAAACAACCAACCTGAGGTCAACTTTAGGTGGTGTTGGAGGTCTCCAGTCTGGAGGTCGTACAATCTCCTCGGCTGGGAGTTTAGATTTATCCCAACCTTAATATTTTCCCATCATATTTAATAAAAACAAATCAGACAAAGGAAATAATATAAGCAAGGTGGATTTTAATTCAAAATGGCGGAAATGGAATAAAATGCGGGAAAATGAACAAAATGGCATTAATATAATGTGGCAAGATGGCGGGGACTGACTTAAATGTCAGAAAATGCAAAAAAGGCATTATGGCGGAGAATTGCTAAAATGGCGGAAACGGAACAAGGTAAAGGAAAAGGCATAAGATGAAAACGCAAGAAAAAAACGTTTAAGAACTTCAAAAAAATATGCGAAATTACCTGGAACGACATTAAGCGTAACAGGTACCCACATCTTCAAAGGTTCCTTGAACTCGGATATATCCTATATATTCAAATTCATCAAAACACAGAAGAAATAATATTCAGTATTTATTGGTGTGGTGAATACAGAAAATTTATAAAGAGGAATAGGAAATAGGCATTTTACTAAAAAGCTTGTAACCACATGGATATGAAATGGATTAACTGTTCAATCGAAAACCTTTAATATAAAAATTATAAAAAATACATACTTCATTATCAGTGGTATAAATTGCAAGTTTCATTAATAATATTCTAACCTTGGGTAGAAATATTTGTTTCTTTATTTCCTCCTCTGTTGGATTCTCATCCCCAAATTCTATAAAAGGAAAAAAAATAAGTAAAAATATAAAAAATAAAAATGTTTTTTTTTCATGAAATTGAAGAAAATTTAAAGGAGAAAAATAAGAAATAATGGAGAAATGGATATTAGGAATACAGAATTAATATTGAAGGGACTGTAGGCGTAATTTCAAGTGAACATCCATTTTTAGAGAGTAAATGTGCGATGCACAATTGTACCCTTTAGATATCCTTGTTTCATATGTGAAAACTGATCATTTCTAATTGTGGTTTCTCAATTAAGTTACTTGCGGATGTACGCACCAGTGACAAAGAATAAAATAGTCGGAAATAAGCGCTTTTCCTGATATAAGAAAGGCACCATTTTTTTCATTGTTTCTTTGATGAAGGCATGAAATGGTACCGTTGTAAACTGGGTATGCGACCCTAAAAGTGGAGAAAGGGTTACCGGAAATTTCGACTTCAGTCCATTTAGGAAAATATTTGATTTTATTTAATTGCACTAACTTTCCTCTGTTATTGTTTTTCTTGTAAAGTTCCACTTGTTCCTTCAAGTACATTCCAGCAGCCCTGTACAGTTTGCAGTACAGTAATATATCTTTTGTCTGCTGATCCTAGCTTCCCTCCCCACCACAGAGGTTCTATAAGCCGATTTTGCGGACATTTCACATGTCAGACTATAACTTTTTTGGTTTTTAAGCTTCAAATTAGCAAATTTTCAAAAGTAAATTTTGTATCATAAATTTTGCATTTTTGAAAAGAAAAATGTTAGATCATTATTTATGTAATTAAAATCCTACTTTTTCTCGCAATTTCGTAATTTTGTGTCTGACTGAAACTTTTGTTTTTTTTAATTTGAATCTGCTTTGCAAAAATAAAATGTCTATCATTAATTATTCTATTTTTTTTAAATCATCATTTCTTAGGGAATATTTTGCCATCAAAATCCTACTTTTAATCGCAATTTCGTAAAAATTATGATTTTTCCGCTAGTAGAGTAAACTAGTGGCATTTACCATTTTAAAGGAAACGTTCTAGTTCTAGAATCTTATATGGTTTAGTATTATCCTAATAGCCGTTTCTGAGATAATTTGATGTATCGGAAAAAAATTGGGAAATATTTTTGCAAAAATACATAAATATTTTTCTATTTCTAATCTTCTAAAGAGCCCAACTTCTTCAAAATTAATTTTTTTACATAAATTTTATTCATTTAAATAGAGCTATATTTATACTTTTTTGGATTTTATATGAATGCTTTATAATATGATAATCTTATGAGGAAAAAAATGTAATAATGGAAATTCTTAAACGAGATGAAATAATCTTGATGTATTCTTTTTCGAAGGCCGCAGGCCTGAGTTAAAGAATGCATCAAGATTATTTCATCGAGTTTAAGAATTCCATTATTACATTTTTATCCTCATAAGATTATTATTATATCATATTTGTGAGGTTCCATGGGCACACACCAAAGAAATTATACTAAAAAATAATTCAGGTGAAATCCGACTACTTCAAGGCGCAATAGTTAACATTATGAAAGGTTGCAAAAAAGTTTTATGCTCTTACTTCTTACTTCTGTGTTGATTCTCAGCAGTCCCGGTGGGACCATTATGAGAATTTCTGCCAGGCAATGAACTGTTGATCAGGACTTCTGCAAGGATGGATTTAGATATCATCAACAGTTCTAGTGCATAGATAATCATCATATCGGGATTTGAACATATTGATAGAGGTTGAACTTTTGACATGGGCTGGTAGTTTGTTCCATATATCTGGTACTCTGATACTAAAGAAATTCCTTCTGATTTCAGACCCTGAAAAGGAGGATTCAAGATTTGCTGGATCAGCATTCAACCTTGTTCTTCTGGTCTGGTTTATTTCTTTGAACCAGGTAGATGAGTCAACCCTGTCAAATCCATTTAAGATTGTGTAAGTTGTAATCATGTCTGTTTTTATTCTGCGATCCTTTAAAGAGAGTAGTTTCAGCTCTTGAAGTCGATCCTTGTAATCTTGGCTTCTCAGCCCAGAAACCAAGCGTACAGCTCTTTGTTGAATATGTTCGAGACAGTTTATGTCTGCTTGGGTTCAGGGTTACCATGCTGGAGAACAAAATTCAAGGTGAGGTCTAACATATTGCTTGTCGAGGTTTATAAATACATGTTGGTCCCTGTAGTGGAATCATTCCCAGAACAGAATTGGCCTTCCTGGCTGCTTCAGAGCATTGTTTAGAGGGTTTTAAATTGTTGCTAATTGTTACACCAATGTCACGTTCTGTATCAGACTCTGATAGTTTTTCACCATTCATAAAATACTCTGCTTTAGAATTATTTCGTCCAAAATGCATAACCTTGCATTTTTTAACATTGAAGAGCACTCCCCATCTAGAGGCCCAACTACAAATTTGGTTTAGACATTCTTGGAGATCAGCTCTGTCTTTGTCATTGATAATTGTTTGCCCTAACTTTGTATCATCAGCGAATTTTTTGATTAGCTTGATCAGGGTAGCAGCTCCATCTATATCATCGATGAATATTAAGAAGGCTAGTGGTCCTAGAACACTACCTTGCGGGACACCAGAATCAACGTTGATCAGATCTTGTTCTGACTATCACTGTTTTTTATTTTCTAATGTTAAAATGTTAAAAACCATTTTATAAGTAAAAATTGGTTCTTAATTTGAAAGTAATGCATGTGGTGGTGTGATTGTTTCCTTTGTTTAGTTTGTTTGTTTACCGATTTCTAATAAATTTGCTTCTTTTTCAAGTTGATACTAAATTTAAATGCAGCATGTTGAATGTGCTCTGAGTTTTTTTTTAGATGGGGAGAAGGTATTGTATTGGGTTGTCTTAATCCACTGAACAAAATCTTGGAATCATTATAAGAAGAAATCATTTCCTGGATATTAGATCCTAAATCTTCCAAAAAGAGGAGATTAAAGCAGGTTATCTAGTAATCAGTTCGACATGAACTGATGAAGATCTTGGTCTTTTATTCATGAAGCAAGATTTACTGGTTTGTTTTCATTGCTATGGAGTGCTAAGACCCCACTAAAAGTTTTTGTGACACTAGTATTTCAATGATAAGTTTTCATAAACTATAAACTTTTTCTGGTTTTAATTGTGGTTTCACTTTATCATCTCGAGCTATGCGAGATATGGTGACTGCTGACTCAGGCTGAGGTACTTTTAAAACTTTATAATAAAGTAAAAAAAAACAATTAATTGAAATTGTGAAGACATGAGAAACCTTTCCATTTTTGAAAAGCTCTGACCGTACTATTACAAATATGCAGAGATTTTCAAAATCTCACCAAACTTGGTTTGGAATGAAGAAAAACTAAAATTAAATTGAATAAAGTAGGCAGTCGGGCAATATGCTTTGAGACTCTGTAGTTTGGTGAAAATGTCCAATGGAAGACTTAAAGTTAAAGTTCATAGTTATTTTTTTTGGAAATGTCAGAAAATGTTAATTAATAAGAATTTATGTATGTTGGAGTTCTGTTGATTAATCACACGGGGTTCCACTCTTCTGTCAGGACTAAGGTTAAGATTTAAATGGAAATTCCTGAATTAAGATTTATCAATACTTCAAAAAACGAAAAAGGTAAGTGAGCTTGAAAAGGTAAGTGAGCGTGTTTTACTAAAGTTAAAAAGGTAAGCTTGCATGTTTTAATATTAAAGAAAAACGTAAGTGAGCATGTTATTTTTTAGTATAAAAAGGTAAGTTTGCATGTCTTAATATAAAAGAAAAAGGTGAGTTTGTGGAAAAGATCAATATAAGGAGCGTGTAAGAATGAATATTCTTCAACAAGTGTAATAATTTCCATTCTTTAATGCTCGGAGCGTGTAAGAATATACATTCTTTCGCGCTCTGACCATGTAATAATTTCCATTCTTACACGGTCTGAGCGTTAAAGAAGGAAAGTTCTGCACCTACAGTGTAAGAATAAGCATTCTTAAACGCAAGGAAGCGAACAATATTAAAATTGTTCCGCCTGAACCGTGTAATAATGGGAATTCTTACACGATAGGTTTACTTCTATGGAACCGAACAGATATGATATAATATTGACTATGGCACCTGTAAAAGATAAATGCATTTTATTCCTATGACAATTGAGAAAATTGAAATTTCCAATTCCGTTGAACTTTAAACCCTCAGAACTTATTTATCTGAGAGGCTATCTTTGTCTGGTTTTGTTTCCCTGAATCGGCTTGGTAATAAAGATGTCATATTAAAATATTGCTTGATTATCCTTGCCGAAATTATATTTGTTTTTCACTTAAATGTGAATCTTACTTAAATGTACTAAATATATGTGCATCTTTAACACTCTATCTTCAGATCTCAAAAACTTGAATTACACTTAACTTAACCCCCCCCCCTCAAATAGTATGGAAAAAATCGACTATTTGTCCATTTTCAAAAAGAATACTTTCCCACCTGGATTCAGCTGATCCTGTTGCAATAGCGAGCAGATTTCTCTGTAGAGCTGTTTGGGTCTTATTATCTTTCCTTAATAATGTTGCAATATTGACAAAATGATAAACTCAAAATAACATTGAATAAATATAAAGATTGTAGATTTTTTTCAGAACCAGGCTTTTATTATCCAAAATCTCTCTAAGCAACAATCTTAATTAATATTGGTCCAAAGTAATGTTCAAAATAAAAAAAATTAGTTGTAGGCTCAACTTCTTCTTTCTGATATTTTCTTTGCAAACATTCATTAGAAAAACAAAGCATGCAGCGATTTCTATCAATATTAAAAGACCATACGTCATTCGATGAACTGCTGGTAACCATCAAAACCGTGAAGTGTAGAAGTTATTAAACACAAAATTAAGTGGACGAACCTATCCTCTCCATCGGAGGATCGATCTGATTTGCTTGTTCTTCTCCTTCTTTCCCTCTCCTCATCCCGTCCTCCGATCCTTTCTTCATCACGTCCTCTTCTCCTCTCATCACGACCCTCTGTCCTCTGCTTTTCCTGTCCGCTGGATGGTTTCGGAGGAGAGTAGTCTACATTAAATATTCGTTATCATTTAAAAATAGAAATCTTAAAACGGTACTAAAAAAAAGTTAATTTAAAAAATACCGAGGTTTGAGTTTATCCGACATTTTAAAGGAGGGGGGGGGGGGTGAATTTCGATTTATTGTGGAAATGATTTAAAATTCCTGGAGAAGGAGGCGGAGAGTCCAGGTCACTAGTAGATGTGGGAGGAGGTGTAGACTCTCGCGGTGGAGTTGAATCTCGCGGCACAGTAGAGTCTCGCGGCGGAGAGGACGAACTATTAATATCCGGAGAGGCCTGGTCTTGATTTAAGGCCGGGGAGCCCCGGGGAGAAAGAGATTCTCCGCGGGACGGAGATGAGGCCATAGCATTATCGGCGGGAGGCGTATCCGCCATTTTTCTGAAATTTCATGAAAAAATTTAATTACATTTTACTTACTCCCGGCCCAACAGAATTTCAATAATAAGAGAGAAGGTGTGACATGAGAAGTGATGACTGTATTATAAAAATCATTTTTGGTCCGTTTTCTATGTTATCAAATATTTGGTTCATTAACGAAAGATTGATTCTTCAATCTTTAATCATCATATCAATTAGCATGGTGGAACCTCGAATAAGATACACTTAAAGAAAAAAAAGTCGAATATTGCATTATAAAAATCAGGTTCACACCTTCTCTCCATTATCTTGAAAAGTGTTTGTTTTGTTTAAGACGCTGGTTAAGAATGGCACCACGCTCCATAGCTAACGCGAAGCTAAAATAAAACATGCTCAGTATACTTTAATGAACTGCTTAAAACCGAGTTTTCATGATGTAAAAATATTATCAAAAAAATAGTGGCGAGTTTGACTAAAAATCCAATACAATTTTAATAAATAACATACTTTTTATTAGTTTTGCAGGTACAAACATATACACGCCAAACTCGCCGCTATTTATCTATATTAAACTGTAGGATTTTTATAGATTGATTGATTGCTATTCTACCAGCCGTAGTGCTTCTTGCTTGTATCGGCTGTCCGAGCATACGGAACAGTAGACTCCCTAGCCCCGCCGGAGTAACCACCGTTAGAACGAACTGGTCCTCCTCCTGAGCCAATACCAGGCATGCCACGTGCGCCAATCCCAGCCATACTCGCCATGCTGGTGATCGCCGCCATGTTTTCGTAGATTGAGTTCATCTTTTCCATAATTAATTTTTCAACATTACCGCCAGGGGCGGATTGCGGCGCACTAAAATCATCTTGTCTGCCGGATCCGGCACTACTTGATCTGTATCCTCCGCCAATACTTCCGTATCTGCCTCCCATAGCTCCGCCCATGCCTCCTCCAATTCCTCCGCCCATGGCTCCTCCCATTCCTCCGCCCATTCCTCCTCCCATTCCTCCCCCCATTCCTCCTCCCATACCTCCACCCATTCCTCCGCCCATTCCTCCGCCCATTCCTCCGCCCATTCCTCCGCCCATTCCTCCGCCCATTCCTCCGCCCATTCCTCCGCCCATACCTCCACCCATGCCTCCTCCCATCATTTCACCAAACATGTCTAACATACCAAGATTTCCCATTCCTCCACCTCCTCGTCCTCCCATTGGTCCTCCATTACCCCGATTGTCCCGACTGTTAAATCCTGAATTTCTTCCATAGTTATCTCCTCCTCCACCTCCTCCTCCGTTAAAGGGTTGTTCCATCTGTCCCCGCTGTTCACGCAGAGAAGCCAGTTCCTAGAAAATAATTATTAGATATCTGAAATAACCAGGATCCGGATCCAGTGCGGATCCGCATCAAAATTAAATGGATCCTAAGAACTGAATTACCCTTAATTGAGACCATGACAAACCATGACAAAATCGGTGACCAGAGCTGAGAACTTCTGTATTAAATATATTCTCGATTTTGTTAATCTGCAGATTAATTCATATTTTTATTCGATATCCCGTAATCTTCGCACAATGAAGGAATTACTGAAATTAGTGCCCATTGTGCCCACAGTGGATATCGAGATCAAACAACCAATATTTTGAGTATACAACACAAAATTTCCCTTCTTAGAACTTGTTAATATTATTTAATAAATATTTAATGCAGGCAATGGCAAAAAAAACTGAACTAAGAAATTAAAACACTGTCCTGAGGGCAAACAATATTCAAACGAGATAGAAATAATGAGAATTGGCTTAGACTGGATAATAGATACGATTTTAACCCAATAAGGTGTATTAAGACCGACTGAATTCAGCTAGGTCATGAACATCTCTTTTAGATTTACTGATTTGAAGGAAGTTTCAACTAATTTTCTTCTTTTTCGCATATTTTTACGCTAAAACTCGATTTAATGATTGAGAAATTTTTAATAACTAGAAATTCAAGGCGCTTCGCGCCCTTCTTTCTAGCCTTAGAGGGCGCTTCGCGCCCATATTTAAAAATGTTTACGGAAAATATTTATAAATATCAACTTTTGGAGAATTTTTGAATCGTGGATATCGTGATTAATGCTTGAACCACTCTTTTTCTTAATCTCCAGATTAAATAATGCTTGTTCTCCTCTTGTTATTATTAATCTCCAGGATTAATTAACCGATCGGGGATTAAGGATATCACATTCTAAAGTTTTCAGCTCAGGTTTTCCGGCAAAAAAAAAAACACTTTTGACATGAATAAACGAGCATTCTTGCACTTACTGGCGATAAGAGTTGCTTGAAAACTGTTTAGAAACTGTCCAATTTCCCCATATTTTAAAATCATCTTAAAACTGTATAATCCTGTTTACCTTATCTACCGGGTCATGATCATCAAATTCTACAAATCCAAATCCACGTTTCTTCCCTAGTAAATCAAACCATGAGTATACACATCGTTTGATTAGTGAGCAGTTAGATTGATCATTATTATTTCGATTGATTGATTATTGAGGGCTTTGAATGAGCATTGAGTACTTTGATGGTTACTGATCTACTTCTAATGATTATAAAAATCTCTGATTTATTATCGAGTACTTGGATGATTAGTTCAGAACAACTTGTATGCCGAATTCTTCCTTTTTTCTTTTTGTGCAAAGTATCTCGCAATCTCAATAACGAAGCGAAAAATTACACTGATACTGTTGTTGTATTAAAATGTGTACTTCAATAATTAATTTACATATGCCCTATCATTAATGTCTTAAAACTAGCAAATCAAAAATGCTTATTGCTTCACCTGTATCATGACACTTCACTTGGCTCACAGAAATCACCTCACCGAAATCGCTGAGATAGTCCCTTAGAATAAATAGCTAAATGGCATACTAGAACTAGAGGACTCAACGAGTCTACGTAATGAACTTCCTGTTGATATTGATAGCTGACGATATCGTGCCCATTGGCTTAGCATTGATAGTTATGAGCTTGTGTCTGTATTGACATTGATAGCTGAAGAGATCGTGCATGTGTGCCGAATTCATAAAAAAAATACGCCATTTTCTCATCATTACTAACCATGAGAAACTGGCGTATTTTTTTAGTATTTTCGCGGATTTCCTAAATATCAGGAGGAAATGGCAAAAAAAAATTGATTTTTTCAGACCTTTTTTTCTAAACGATCGCGAAGAACTAATTAATGAAAATTGAAGAATTGGGGGGGGGGGGGGGGTTTCAAGGCAAGCTTTTTTCATCTTATTTGAAAAAAAAGGTTGAAAAGTATCAATTTGAATGAAATAGGTTGAAAAAGTATCAAATAATTTGATACTTTTCTCAAAAAAAATCATTTGTTTCTCCAAAAACATCATTTATTTCCCCAATTCAGCGAAAGAAATCCATGAGCAAACCTTTTCAGAATCTAAATTAAATCTATGATTGCTGACAAATTCATAATTCTAATTTCAATTGAAATTTTTAATCATAATTCAGAAGTAAATGTTAATAAAAATATGAATAAAAATTTGTAATAAAGAAAGGTTTACCTGCAAATGTTTAATATCAAAGTAGGTTTAACACAAAATAATGTCTGTTCTACCTGAGATCATCGTCTGATATAGAATCGTCCATCCCGCCGATCCATAGTTTTTTAATGTTAGCCAGAGCTTCAGCATCTCGTGCACCATGCTAGATATTTTATCAATAAATTAAGAGCATTTGTCGTATTTGAATTCAAACACCTTGTCTTAACACTTGCCGATGTTATGATTTGAATATCAATATCTCGATACTCAAATAAATATTCATGTTTTCATAATTAGAAAGAAAGACATTTGACAGTAAATAACCGTTTAATTGTTTTTCTCCCATAATATTACATTTTAAAATAAAATTTATAATTTACCCTCAAAATTATTTTAACAAATGAAAATGTAATCTCTTTTTGAATGTCTGCTTTATCATTGCTTTTTACGTCAAATATTGTGTTAAAATGGTAACTTCTTTTTTAGAGGGGGGGGGGGGACAAACGCAAAGTTAACCTTTCTTCTTCGTACATTTTAAGAGAATAAAATAATTTTTTGTGTTGTAAAGTTCTGAAAAGGTTTGAAGGATTTTTATCATTCATTCATTCATGTATATTTCATAACTTTAAAAATAAGATTTTTCTTAATCTCAGGGGGGACCTTGATAAGAGCACCAGAACACTCCATTATTTATCTAGAAACCAAAACTATCCTTTAACCAATACCATTGGTTCACCAAGAATGAATGAAATATGCAAATTTTTTAATTTTTAAAATTGATTTTTAATTACGTGTGGTTTCTCTTAAAATGTGATATTTATTAATTGCTAGAGGATTCAATTTAGACAAAAATCACCAAAATTAACAGTTAAATAAAAAACTGAAGATATATTTCTTAATTAAAAAATAAGATTTTTTTAATTTCTGGGGGACCTTTATATATTTCCACATGATTGATCATAAAAAGGTTGTGAATACGGCATTTACCTAGTTAAAAAGGTAATCACTTAAATTTAAGCAAACCAACCTTTGGAGCTGCGCGCTTTACTTCAAGCTCTTTCCCCCCTAGTTCATGAGGACGTGCGCGCTGGCAATCATCCACCATAAACGCCTTCTCAAAGGTGAGGAAGGCGAACCCTCTAGACCTGCCAGTGTCATTAAACTTCATTAAACTACACTCCTCCAGCTTTCCATACCTTAAACAGCAAACATTATATTCATTTTCAAACTTTTCAAAAGTCGAATTTTGTTAGAGGCAATTTTTTTTTAATTCGAGCATCCATAAGGCAACTTTCCAAATATGCAATTTCCCAAGCGGCAACTTCCCAAGGGTTAGGTTAGGCCCTCTGAGGCTGCAATGGGGGCCGATCGCTGCGGCTAGGATATGCTAAGGGTCGACGCCGCGGCTAGAACAGGACGAGGTCCTAGCGCTGCAGCTAAGACAGACTTGGGACGTTGCCACTTGGAAATTTTGCACATTTGGAAAGTTGCCACTTGGGAAAGTACCTAACATCATCAATAAACCTTCCCTGGGGTCACGCGAGGTCCAACAAAAAATTCGGGCGCGATCAGACCGTATATTAGTTGTGAGACTCATATTTTTGCACCCCCCCTTTCATAATAATATTTTTTCCTCAAATCCACGGCTTAAAAAATTTACAGATTCCTGAAACCCGCGCCAACTTCGAAGAACACTTTTGGATTTTAGTAGTATAAAGAATCTTTAAAAATTTTAAAAATTGAACGAGTTAAAAATGCTTGTTTTAAGGAAAAGTACAATTTTTTTGGAGGTTTATTGAACCTAACTCATTTAATTTTTAAATTTTTAAAAACTTAAAGGTATTTTGTCTGTTTAGACAATTACGAAGAAAATGATATATCACATGATAAATTCAAGAAATATTTTTTTGAGCTATGTATGCAATCTGCACGACCACTTTCTATTGACCTAGATAAAAAAATTCCTGCAATAACTGACTTCATAGAGAACAATATTAGACTCTTAGGTATTTGTGGTGCAATATTCCTATAAAATGGGTCACCTTAATTATCAGCTTGGGCACCCAACGCTGCCCAGGTTACTAAAAGTAACTCCCGCAGTTTACCCAAACTTATTATTTTACTGGGAAACTAAATTTTCGCTTTTAAAGTCGACCCACTCAACTTATAATCTCAAAACCAAGCTAAGTACATTCAAGTGGGTGTCCCGAGTTCCCCAATTAAAATTTGAGGCAAGTCGGTCCAGGGGTTCCTGGTATTATGATCGGACAAACAAACAAACAGAGATTACAACTTTATATACTGACTGATAATTTCAACTAACATTGAAATAAAATTTCTACTTTAAACGATTGTTTGTATTATTTTGAGTACACTATTTTTTACAAAATTGAAAATGTTACCTTTCAAAATATTCTTGCAGCTCAGCCTCTGTCGTGCTATAATTCATGTTCCCAATAAACAGCTTCCTATAAACATTAGCAGATATGATTAGATATAATTAAAATCAGATATGCATAAAATCCGATTTAACTTAAAGTCAAACAAGTCAGCCAACATTTTTCCAGGAGGGATCGCTTTTATATTGATTTTCGGGTTTCGTCGAAATTTTTAAGTTTGAAATTTAACACTTAAGTTTATTCTGCAATCTGCATGGGAAAAAAACGAGATACTTTTTAATACAGTGTTTTCTTTGGATTTCCGCCGATAACAGAAAAATCATTTTAGAAAAAATCTTAACAAAAAAAGATATTATGAGCTGAGGCAATCTTTTAAATATGAACTCAAAATAAAATTTAAAGAGAAATTTACCTTAAGAGCTTATGCTCGGGGTCCAGGGCCTCTCCAACGGGCATTTCGTTCTCCCGTCCCCTGTAGTTGGGCTTTATAGGTCCCCCACCCCCTCTATCCTCCCTAGTAACAATATTATTGTATAACACCACTGTACTTGGGTCGTATACTGTATCGGGCCCCCTTTCTACTAAGATACAATTTATGACAGATTTTTTTATACTAAGATACAATTTATGGCAGATGTTTGTGCTTAGATACAATTTATGGCAGATGTTTGTGCTTAGATACAATTTTTGACAGATTCTATGGACTATTTTATCCGTCTAAATGTTGCATATATTTGTGTCATGGGTGAAAGTACATTTATACAATGTTAATTCCTTTATAGAAGACACTGTTGAACTCGCAGAAGATAACAAAATAATTAAACAAACTTTGAAATTCTGATGTTACAAGCTATTCAGAATCTTGAAAACTATTGTTTTAAACCTACTTTGGAGTTGCACGTTGAAGCTCGACTTCTTTTCCATCAATAACATGAGGTTGAGAGTTTATACAGTCCTCCAGACATTTCGGGTCTCTGCAATTAAGATCAATGAATAAGGAGGCAGGGGTTTCCATTTAGGAGTGGGTAGGGACAGTAAAAAAATTGGAATTTAAATATTATCATCTAACGTTAATCCATCCCTAGAATGTCAAATATTTTCCCAGTTCAGCAAACCTAACAACTAGATTCATTACATTAGGGGAGATGAACTGTTAAGTTAAGGGATGATATTTCGAGAAAATGTTTACCCCTGTACAAATGGGTCGTTGTTATTCTAAAACATCTTGGTCTTCGAAAAATCCCCTAATATTGACGATCAAAAGTTATCTCCGTTTTTTTCAAAACTTACTTGAATGTAACGAATCCGAACCCCTTTGACCGCTTAGTGTCCGGATACCGCATAATCACGTTATCGGTCAACTCTCCAAACCTAAAAATAATTGGATTAAATTTTTGAGAATTTTTTCTCACTTTTTATTTGGATTTACTAGAATGCAAACCCAATTTCGTGGTTTTCACAAATAATTACCGCAGATTTTTAAATAATGTGTAATAATTTAAGATTTTTAAAAAAACATTGAACAACTAAAAAGTTGAAATACCCATAAGAAACATGCTTTCCCGTATAATAACACAAGACACTTAGAAAAATGGAACACCTTCCTCCACGCGGTGGGTGTGTGCTGTAGTAATATATAGTACTCTGACAGAAGATAAAGTTGCGTTTCGTGGAGAGTGGTAACCCTATACTATTATTTATGCTTACCTTTCAAAGTAAGCTCTGAGTACTGTATCATTAGTATCGTAGTTGAGTCGACCCACAAAGAGGCGTCCAGACATAGATCCAGTCTGACCTCCACGCTTGAAGTTCTCCCGTCCTTCCCTTCCCGGCATTTCATCCCTAGGGACTGCTCTTTTCAACTCTACAAGCGCTCCTTCTACATAATGGGGCTGCGTCTCCAGTACATGTTCGAAACACCGGATATCACGAAACGTGACAAACCCGAAGCATTTAGATCTTTTTGTATCCGGATACCTCATGATGATATAATCCACAATGTCGCCGAAATTACCGAAATAATTTCTGAGCGCGGTATCATCCGTATTCGGATTGAGCTTTCCGATAAACATACGCTTATGCGCATCCTCTTCACTAGTTTGCCTAGGCATTCTAACTATCTCTTTTATAAGCTCAAATCTCTAAAACTCACCTCTTTCTACTTTACGAACTCAATCTTAACAAATTTGTCTTTTGATTTTTATCTCTAGTTTATCTAAGAACTTTAAGCTCTCTTCCGGCTATATCTTTATAGTTCAAGTGTATCTCTCGAACTCTTTGTATCTCTCTGAAGCTTGGTATCTCTTGAATCTATCAGTATCTCTCTCGATACTCTCTAGGATCTCTCACCACCCTCTCCTATACACAATCAGTTAAAAAATTTAAAAACCAATCCATTTATATTTAAAATATTCTATTATTTAAAAAATACTATTTTATGATCATCTTACTTTTTCACAAATATTAAATACAATCATTTCAGATTATTTATCTTAGATAATTGTATTTTGTTTTTAAATGATTAAATTAACAAGTTAAACGAACTACAAAAGTCTTAACAAAAATGTTTAAATGGTAAAAATTTCATTGATCCGAATAAACAATCGTTATGGAGTATTTCAGCTCGCTGTGCAAATGTTATAATAATTTTGGAAAATTTAGAATTTTTTAATGTTTTCTGTCTCCAATGTTATTTTGAAGAAATCTCATAAAAAATGTCTATATTAGGCGAACTTACACCAGAATTAATTTTCTTATTCTTTCAACTGTTTGCTTGAATATTCTGAAAAATAAAAAGTTATTGCGAACACATTTCACATATTGTTCTCTAGGATATTACCAAGCTAATCATCAACGAGAGAGACTCACTGACCTTGTATCAATTTTGTACATGGGTCTGACAAGAAGTGTCTTAACTTAACCTAACCCGTGGCCGCAGCGCTCGGCCCAGAAAGTGTCTTAACTAACCTAACCCGTGGCCGCAGCGCTCGGCCCCCTACCTAGCCGCAGCGCTCGGCCCAGAAAGTATCTTAACCTAACCTAACCCTAAATAAAAAAAAATAAATAATAATAAATTTGCTGAAAAATAAATGGTCATGTACAAAATTGATAGGAAGGGGGGGGTCCAAAAATCGTATACTAGGACAGACCCACTTTATTTTTAAGCAAAAAAGAATGGTTGAAAATCCATTGTAGCCAATCGCTCTGTTTCAACGATTATAATCATACTTACAGAAATGTTAAAAAGCCGGTTTAATTGCCATAATTTAAGCAACAAATTCAGGTTCATTACACAAAAAAAATAACATTAAAAACAGCTTAAGATTTTAAGTGCAATCTTAAAATTGTTTCGTTGGAAGACACATCACATTTGAGTTTTAACCGTGCGCTCCAGTGTGTTGTGAACTAGTGTACAACTACAGTGTTCACTTCGTACACTCTAACATGACACTCTCTAGACTCGTTCGTGCGCACTTTGTCTTCGAGTCTAAAACACGGGATTTGGACTGATTCATTGATTGAAGAATTATATGCTATGAAAACTGACCTAATAAGTACCCGAACTACAGAGCGTCCCATATTATATAAGATTATCTCCAATCTTTAATGCCAAAATACAATTATAATATACTAAAAAAAATATAGCATTTTCTGCAAAAAAATCTATTAACCTTATTAAATTTTTCAAAATTGATTAAGATATCTTAAATTTTCTGATTTGTCCCCCCGAATCGTAATTATAATGACGCGGTCTAATTTGATGTGGGACACCCCGTATAAAATGCAAAGGAAGAGCCAATTCAGAGTCTTCAGAGACGATTATACAGAATTTGTAAAGTCCGTTTTCTTGCATTCAGGCCTCACGGTGATCCTTGTATTAAGTCAAAAATCACTTTTCCGAGTGCTTAAGCATTTGTTAAATTTATACATCAAAATACTTAATTGAATGAAGAACTAATTATAATCAAGCTGAAATTCGTCATATTTTTTAGTTTTGACACGCATCTTCACGTTGCATTCATCGACTTAGCATGCATGTCACCCATAGCATGTGTATAATCTGCAGCGTACAGTTGATCGCGATACATGTTCCTGGATTTTCTGTAAAATATTTAGGATATTTGTAGTAAATGTTTATTTTTCAATTTAAATCAAATAAAAGATGAAATTAACTAATTAAAATTTTATTTCTGCGTTGTTAAGAAAATTAACATACATGTTTATGTATAACCATTTAACCATGGTAATGTTGATCCGCTCTACTGCCCATCCGTCCTATTGCCCATCCGCTATACTGCCTATCCGACATACTGCAACATCATCTGTCCTACGACAGCTGTAGGTCGGATGGGCATATCATGCCCATCCGACCTATATTCAGCAGCTTTGATCATGCATATAGCGCGCGTAGAAATAATTAATTGTAGCTGTCGGACGGCGCCACCCTATTTTGTAGGTCAGATGGGCACTTTTTGTAGGTCGGATGGGCATTTTTCGTAGGTCGGATGGGCACTTTTTATAGGTCGGATGGGCATTTTTCGTAGGTCATGGGCACTTTTCGTAGAAAAACCAATATGTTAAGAAATTGACAATTGTTTTGTATGCACATCGGCCAGCAATTGATGGGGAAAGGAAGCGGCCATGGGCCACCACTTATTTCCGCTCTGTGCCACATTAGGGAGGGAACCCCCGGAGGCCATGAGCCTCCCTATGCAGACAAGGCTACACTATAGCAGTAAACGAGCCTCCGCCATACAGCACAGCTTTTTTTTTAAATCTTGTAGTTTTTATGAGTGATGAAAACTTTTAACAATTTTTTTTTGACGTAGTGGCAAATTTTACTAAATGATTAGAGTTGTTCAATTGATTGTCATGATTAGAAACATATATGGACTCATAAAGTGATTTTTAAGATTTATATTAAAAATTTAAACATTTCTTACGCAGAAAGGAAGAAATTTGGAGAAATATTTCTGGAGTGAACTTGGTTTGTTTTGTTGTAATTTTTGATTTAAACAATACCTTTTTTTGAAAAATGTTAAGATTTAAATTATAAATACAAATTTTTTAGATTTAATTTGAACTTCAAAAAAAAGCATCTCTTAAATCAAAGATTATAAAAGATGAAATTCAATTCAATTCAAATTTTTTTTCTAAATGTTTTCTTTTTCGTGTGAAAAATTATTAAAGTTTTAGATACCACTTTATTAGTCATTATTAGGCACTATTTATGATATATGAAGTATGATTTGAGTAAACTTTTGAATTGAATGAATTATTTTTTGAAAGGAATTGAGTCTTTGCCACAAACTCAAAATTTCTAATGCCTGTATCTTTGCAACCTGTTTGTGCAATTACTTGATATCTTAAACTTAGAATATTTGACCAAACAGAATTCATAGTTTAAAACTTCATAAGGCCAACGTCATTGGGTTGCAAAGATATAAGGATTAGAAAATAAGAGTTTGTGGCAAAGACTCAAATCCTTTGTGAATTAACGATTCCTTAAACATCGTGGATTCTATATATTTTAAAAGTACATTTATTGCTTCTAGTTTGGCTCCAGGAGTAGCTGAGGTTTAGCTTATTAGCTCCCGGAGTAGCTGAGGTTTAGCTTATTAGCTCCCGGAGTAGCTAAGGTTTAGCTTATTAGCTCCAGAAGTAGCTAAGGTTTAGCTTATTAGCTCCAGGAGTAGCTAAGGTTTAGCTTATTTGCTCCATGGGAGTAGGTGATTGTATAGGATGAAGGAATAGTGAATTCGTGGATAAGAAGTTTAAGCTTGAGATTGTCATCCTCGTTTAATTATTGAGCTGTTTCTGACCAGGCAAGAGGCAGTGTTTTCGGCCAAGGTTCATTTACTTTAAAATTACATTTATTGCTTCTAGTTGTAAATACATAATAAATGACGATTGTATAAAAGAAGAGGAAGTTGAGAAGGTCTTCGCTTGTTCCAAGATCCGACACTATACTGATTTGCGTATTTTACAATCCTCTTTTGGGGATTTTATCCTCTACAGTACATATATTTTGATTTTTGGTTGGTTAAGACAAAAAAGGCAAATAAAAATAAATACAGCAAGCGGAGATCAAAATGCAGGACACATGAGACAGAATGATAGAGGCCCGGAGATTCAAGGAGATGGTTTTGCAGGGCTTGGAGGTCATTCTGCGTATCGGAAAAGTAGACAAGTCTAAGTTTATATTTCAGTTTAAAGCGCTTTTTAAAATTTGTATCTAGTAATCTCATTTTAACATACATTTTATGCTAACTGCTTTTTTATTGCTTGCCCCCTTTTTCATTCTAGGAATCATGGGATTTGAATTTGATTCAAACCTAAAACTATAAAATAAAACCTTAAAAGATTGCTCCAATCGGGGGGGCCCCATAATATCCAGCTTTTCCACCATAAATAATAACCACCTCATCATTCCCTGAAGTGTAATGCATGTTTAAGTATGTAACATTTTGTAAAGTTCTGATGTTTTATTACTTTATATATAGATGTAGGGGATAGAAGGACAACCAAAGTAATTTCCCAGGACACTCATTTTCTGTATACGCAGTAGACCAGGATACGATCATTTTCTATATACGCAGTAGACCAGGATACTCATTTTCTATATACGCAGTAGACCAGGATACCATTTTCTGTATACGTTGTAGACCTAAATACTCATTTGCTATATACGCAGTAAACCAGGATATTCATTTTCAATATACTCAGTAGACCAGGATATTCATTTTCTATAAATGCAGTAAATCAGGATACTCATTTTCTGTATACGCAGTAGGCCAGGACACTCATTTTCTATATATACTGTAGATCAGGATACCATTTTCTTTATACGCAGTAGACCAGGATAACCATTTTATGCATGCACAGTAGACCAGGATACTCATTTCTATATACGCGGTAGACCAGGACACTCATTTTCTATATTTGCAGTAGACCAGGACACTCATTTTTTATATACGCTGTAGACCAGGAAACTCATTTTCCATATAGTCAGTAGACCAGGATACTCATTTTCTATATATGCAGTAGACCAGGATATTCATTTTCTATACAAACGCAATAGACCAGGATACTCATTTTCTATATACGCAGTAGACCAGGACACTCATTTTATATATATGCAGTAGACCAGAACACTCATTTTTTTATATACGCTGTAGACCAGGAAACTCATTTTCTAAATAGTCAGTAGACCAGGACACTCATTTATTATATACACTGTAGACCAGGATACTCATTTTCTATATATGCAGTAACCAGGATATTCATTTTCTATACATACACAATAGACCAGAATACTCATTTTCTATATACGTAGTCATAGACCCGGATATTCATTTTCTATATATGCAGTAGACCAGGATACTCATTTTCTATATATGCAGTAACCAGGATATTCATTTTCTATACATACACAATAGACCAGAATACTCATTTTCTATATACGTAGTCATAGACCCGGATATTCATTTTCTATATATGCAGTAGACCAAGACACTCATTTTCTATATATGCTGTAGACCAGGATACTCATTTTCTGTATATACAGTAGGCCAGGACACTCATTTTCGATATATGCTGTAGATCATGATACCGTTTTCTGTAAACGCAGTAGACCAGGATACTCATTTTATATATTCGCAGTAGACCCTAGAATACTCATTTTCTATATTTGCAGTAGACCAGGAAACTCATTTTCTATATATGCAGTAGACCAGGATACTCATTTTCTATATATGCTGTAGACCAGGATACCGTTTTCCCAAGTAACAATTTTGTGGTAAATCCGCGGAAATTCCCAGGAATCTTTCCTGGGAATCCGCGGAAATTCCCAGGAATCTTTCACAGGGAAATCCGGTGAAAATTTTAACAGCTTTTCCGAGGAATTTCTTGTAACCCAT